GGAGGAGAGTGGGAGATGGCAGAGGGTAAGAGATAGGGAATCAAGGATGGGGGGAAAAAGGCAAAACATACAGAAAACAAGAAATGGAAAATTATTTGCTGACAATAACATGTTTCATATTTGTTGATGTGCTTGATTGAGACAATATACAGTGTACTCTGGATGGAAAATCTCATTTTGTATGCTGTAATGATGTACAGTGAATGAATGCAAATAAATAAATTGAAATAAAAAAAAGAAAATGTAAATTAATACAGACATTTAAAAAAAAGACTGCAGGGCTAGTTTATAGTTTATAAATTTGTTTGTTTTTAACTTTAATCAGCAAGACAGGTATTTCCATGAATTTCAAAAGCAGAGATATTTCTTCATCTGGACTATCAAAATCACCACCAGGCCGAGCCAGACTAGACAGCTATGGTTGGTGCTGCCACTCAGAAAAGTGAAACCACATGGAAAGCCCAGGTTTGATTCCTGGCCCATCCTAAAAGCTGAGGAAGGAGGATCATGATTTAGCAGGACCCTTCTTAAAATTTGGAAAAAAAAAAAAAAATGCAGTATCATTCTTTCCAAAAACGTTGATGAAGGCTGTGGGGTTTGTTTGTTCCTAGTGAATAAATGGAAATATTTGGCCCACTAAACCTTTTAACTTAGAAAGGTAGCCTATGGATTCAAAAAAAATGATAAGTAGCTAGATTATATGTGAGGTCTTCAAAAAGCTTATGAAAATGCATATTATGAAAAATTACATATAGATCTCAAAGATATTTTATGCCAGAATAAGCCTGTAGTTTAATTCCACTTTCCCACAAACTTTTTCCTTAAAAGAGGTTTTTGCCTTAAGGTGCATGAGAGTCCAGCAGCATAACTGCTAAGCCATCTGCTGGCTCCTCCCACAAACTTTTTAAGGTCTCCTCATGTACTACAAGTACTGTGGAAGAAATGTAAAAGTAAAAGTGTTATTATTCTCCACCTTAAAAAAAAATAATAAAAAAATAAAAACTGCAGGGACCAGCAGTTAGCATAATGGCTATGTCACTCGACTCCCATGTAGTCAACCACGGTTCGAGTACTGGACCCGGTGGCTTAAAACTCACACCAGGCGCATGTGCGTGCGTGCCCAAGATCCCGAGAGGAGAATGGAGGAGAAGGGATTGTGGCATAGCCATCCCCCCAGGGGGTGATTTCTCGCTTTCTGTCTCTGTCTCTCTTTGTCTGGCGAGCATACGACCCTACAGCAAAAATCTGTCAAAAAAAAAATAATTTTCTATGAATAAGTTGCAATTTTATTTCCTGCTTCCAAGTCCTTGGAGTTAGGAAGAAGAAAATAAACTCGACTACACAAAGACAGAAAATTCCAGGTATTTTTCCTAAATAAAAGGAAATATTATGATATATCACTCAAATCTAGCGGAGGGAAATCAGAAAAAAATTACCATATAAAAATTATTTATTGAAGGTCCACTGAGTATATAATATTATACAGTGTATTAAAACTCTGTACAATGTAAACAGGAATGACCTAACCTTATAAGTACAGTCTAGACTGATGCTAGCAACTATGCTGGAAGGAAAAGCTGGTAAGAGAATGTCGATTCCAAAACTCCTGAGTCTATGCTATGCTATGAAAATTTTTTCCATCTCCCTATTCCTTTCTACACCTTCTTCCATTCGATTAGGAAATTACATATTATATGTATGCCCAGCATTCCACCATCATTCACTGAAAGTGGGGTAAATCTTTTAGAGTAGATTGTAAATAGCTACATACCAGTTCTGCTGTGGTAAAACTTGGAAGAGTTCTACCAGCA